CAATAGAGTATTACTCAGCCATAAAGAAGAATGAAATCTTGCCACATGCAATGACATGGATGGAGCTCAAGAATACTATGCTAAGCGAAGTGAGTCAGAGAAAGACAAATACCCTATGATCTCACTTTGTATGTGGAATTTAAGAAACAAAACAATCATGGGGGGCAAAGAGAGAGAAAGCAAACCAAGAATCCGACTCAACTCTAGAGAACAAACTGATAGTTACCGAGGGGGAGGGAGGTGGGAGGATGTGTGAAATGGGGGATAGGGATTAAAAAGTATATTTATCATGAATAAAATAAAATAAAGCGATAAAGAACACAAAGCTCACAAAACAAATGAGATACCATCTTCAAACAACAACAAAAAAAGAATACAGGACTGAGTCTAGGGCAGAGTTAGCACAAAAGAATCCTAACTATTTTCAAATGCTTTCTGCGTTTAACGACTGGTAAGAATCTGCATTTTTCCAGCACATCCTCAAATAGAGGTACATTTTTCTGCAGCTGTAAACAGGAGCATTGGGATAAATTAACAGAAAATTCCACCATGACATCCCTTGGTGTACTGAGATTAAAAACAAAAACATAAACGGTCAGGAAGCAAACGTCTGGGAACATGATTTTGTTCTTACGTTAGACCATTATAAAATATACTCATATTTACTTCTGCATAATATATCATGTCCTGACTACAAATGTTTGTAATTTGGCTGGGTGATCAGTGGGGTCAGGAGGGGAGCTCTGTTAATAAAGAGAGCCAGATAGACTGACTCACTCCTGGGTCCCTCTAGACTTACTCAGTAAGAATATAGGATGGGGCAGGGGGCACCTGGGTGGCTCACTTGGTTGAGTTTCTGACTTGAGCTCAGGTTGTGATCTCACAGTTCCTGAGTCTGAGCTCCCCATCAGGCTCACTACTGTCATCACAGAGCCTGTGTCAGATCTTCTGTCCTCCTCTCTCTCTGCCCCTCCCCCACTCCCACGTGTGCACTCTCTCTCAAAAATAAAAACATCAAAAAAAAAAAAAAAAGAATATACGATAGGGAAAATCCAGAAATCAGTATTTTTTTAAAGCACAGTTGGTGATTCTAATAATCACCTGAGCCTGGAAATCACCAGTTGGAAAATGGGCCAGAGGTTTGATTCAATTATTATTCTAGAACCATGACTCTCTGGTGGCGTATTATTTGTCGTCAAATAGACTTGCAATTTAGGAAAGTTCTATAATACCTCGGCATGTTTAGTTTTCACTACTCTAATTTTTGCTATTTGCTTGAACGGACTTCATAGAAATTCCACTAGGCTCTTGCAGAGCATAATAAGTGAAGAGTCAGAGAACCAGAAACAATGTCAGAGGGTTAAAACCGGGGGCTCTTGGTCTGACTCTATCACTACCGGCTTGGTGACCCGGGGAAAGATGGCAACACTTGTGCCCCCCATCTCCCCTGGTTCCTCATTTGTCAAGTGACTGGATTAGACAGCAGGTTGCAACTCATGTCTCTGTTCTAGTTGGATGGGGAGCAAAGGCCTGGAGAAATGTTTGGAGAAGGTTCCTGAGGCATTGTAGGACCTGGGAGGCAACAGAACTTCTACCAGTTAAAAATGTCCCCTCTGCCACACCTGGCATAGGAAAAAGAAGAAGAAGGGCCACATGTGTGTGGTGCCAGTCATTCCAGGACCAGATAACCTCTAAACACTTTGGAAGCTGACAAGTTGGATAAAGCTGTGAACTGGCCAGGAATAATTCATTTTTCTGAAACAAAGTATGTTCTGGGAAAACGATCATTAAGTGAAATAAAAGCTCCCCGCGCTCCTCACAGGAGAAAATGAAATTGCTTAGGCTGAGTGATGGGAACAGACCAAACGCATAATAAACTAAAGCAAAGGAGAAATCAGTAATCCGAAATGGAGGGGAACCCCCACCCCACCCCAGCTTTACTACAACGAAGTGAAATAAGAACAGAGAGCAACTAATTCAATTGCCTTGGGACAGCTGCTCATGTACTTGTCTTATTTGTGACGCATAATTAAAGTAAACAGTATCCTGAGGAGCCTTCATCTGGTTTAAAATGATAAAACACCACCAAATGGAACTACATGAGGGATTCTTTTATTAGGCATTTCCAAAATTACACTATGATATTTCCATGAACAATGCGCTATTATAATGAGAGTTCTCAATCCCACAGATATGAGAGAGGTTTTAATTTAAACCTCAGGGGTGTTATTCATGCACTTTACCAGCAGAGCTATTAAATTAGGTAATCTATTTCTTTCTTGGGAAAATACCGAGATTGTAAAGTGTTGTGATGTATGAAAACCAGATCCATGAAATAGGCTGAAAAAATGAAAAGCAATAGAATGATTTTAGGAATTCTATCCAAGATATGGGCTACATTCAAAGTACGAGGAGGGTGGTTTTAATAATCTGGTGTAAGCTGTAAATGCATCACAAGCCTGTCTACCGTCACACCTGGTTACCGGGCCTTGGATAAGCCAGCGAGTTTCAAATGGGGATGGCTTTGCCCCTACAGGACATTGGCCCCCTCTAGTGCCTGGAGACACAGGGTTGTTGGGGAGCGGCAGTCATCCTACTGACATCTGGTGGGTAGAGGCCGGGCCGCTGCCCAACATCCTGCCGTGTGCTGGACAAACCCCATAACAGAGATTTTCCAGCCTCAAGCGTCAAGAGTGCCGAAGTTGAAAAATCCTGCATCTGCCTGCTATCCCAAATTGCTACCCAGCAAACCATGGTCAAGGCGTCTTCCGACCCTTTCTTTCATCTTGGAAAAAACTGGCCTCTTGATCCAGCGCAGATTGCTAACTCGGGTGAGATACCAGGTCTCTTTAAAACTTCCCTTTTGCTCCCTCTCGCTTTCCCATTTTTACCAAGGAGTAATCCAGAGCAGGGACAGTACGCTGTCTATGGCCATACAGCTAGAAAGACGCAGGGCCAGGAGGCGAACCTAGGGTCCTGGGATTAGGAGCCTGGGTTCTTGACCTTCAAGCTACACCACCACTCAAACAGTGCTGGAAAATGAAACCTGTTTTCCAAGGACCCATCACATTCTTCTCTCTCTACCACATTCTCCAAAATCCAATTTCACTGGTAACGCCTCTCTCCACCCCCTCCCCCTTGCTTTTGAGGACTCACCCTCTGCTACCCTGTGCTCCTGATGAGTTTAGGATGAAGGTGATAAAAGCCACACAGAGCCCGGATCCTTGTGCTGGACGCCCACTGCACGCTTCCCAGTATGTCAGGCATTCTACAGACCAAGTTCTAATCCCCACACCCCCAAAACTACAGAGGTAGGTAGTATTATCTCCAATTTATACGTAAGCCCAGGTTCAGAGTTCAAGTGAACTCCCCAAAGCCACACAGTTAATAAATGGCAGACCCAGGATTTGCAGTCTGAGCTCTCGCTCTCAAACCCAGGCTCTCTCTACATCACTGTGCCAATCAGGAAATGTACATCTCACACGCATTTCACGTGGGAATTAGAGCAGATAAAACGAACATAAAACCGCCTTCGTTTTCAAAGAATACAGACGGCGGTTCAGAATCCCAGCGAGGGTGCCTGCAGGTGGCCAGGGACCAATCTCAGGCTGTAGCCCTTGTGATTAGTCCTCCTGGTGCTCTGTTTTAAGAAAGTTGAATTTGTTGTCAATATCTTAACAATTGGGAAATTTCACACACATTTTTTTTTTTTTTTTTTTTTTTTTTGGACTTCTGGTTTCTCTTGAAAAGTCAGGCAGATCTGTCAACACGTGTTGATGTACATTCCTGCAAGGCAAAAATCAGCATATTTTCCCTAGTTCATCAGTTTGACACACACACACACACACACACACATTCCGCTGGCCAAGCTTCTCTGGTCTACATCACAGGCATTTGATCGTGTGACCGTGTGGCTCTCATTTAGATTCAGAAAGTAGCTCAGACTATTGAGCTGGGTCTCTGATCGGCGTCGTATTCACGCACAGAGTAACTCCTTGGTTGCTGTTAAGTTCCTGACCGCTTCACCCCTTTCGATGCAAACAGTAAAATCCTAGTTGATTGCTATTAACCAGAGGGAAGAAAACACTTCCCGACACTATGTAAGCAGAACAAAACAAAAACAGTACATTCTTGCCTTACAAATACTGACTTTCTGTTGCAGCCTTACTTGGGGTTATTGCAGTGTCTCTCTTGATACTTGACTCCGCCACCACAAGTTCGGGAACACTCGGACCACTTCGACCAGGCGGACCACTGGCCGTGGACGGGCCGGGGCCCGTGATCCCCAAACTTTACGCACTGGCCTTGCCGACACCACTGTGAAAAGAACGTGTGACATGTTTCTTGTCAGAGTCCGCCTGGGAAAGGGCAAGGAGGTGTAGACACCTGTTCGTGAACAGGAAAAACAAGTATGGGGGCCAAAGGGAGAACGCAGGACACCTCGAGAGCGTTTCTTTGCCGGCCACGCTTCACGAACACCCGGTCACTCTGCATTTACTGCATGCGTTTTGAAAGGCTGACATCTAGCGAAGACGGGTCTGCCACCAGCCGGCCGAGTAGTACATGCTTTGTGAGCTGTCGAGGTGACGTGTTCAGATAAGATTCCACCCAAGGGCCAAGGGAGAGCGCGCAGGCACAGTGACAAGGGTGCCTCCCCCCCGACCTTTAGACACAAGGCTGCTTAAAGAACAATGTGGATCATTCACTCAAGGAGAACCAGTTTTTTAGGTCCTAACACAGAATTTATCATTCTGATTACTCATCATAAAAACAGACATTTTTGTTTATCCCCAGCCATCCCTACAGAGCACGTCTTATGAAACAGACTAGCTCTCCGTCCACACGCATTGTGCTTTTAGGTAACACCCTTTGACCTTACGGCTGTGTGAAAGGCTCCTACTCCAGACCCTGAACCGATGACTTTGAACTCTCTGAGTGTCTTTTATGAATTAGCTCTGGGTCTTTCATTTGCCAACGCTCTGGTCAAGCCAGGGCGAGAGAGCTGTTTTCTGTGCTAACCTTTCCTTCTATTTTCCTTTGTGATACATTCCAGGCTTTGCCGGTCATCTCTGTCCTTGGGGACTGCTTGAGCCTCTCGTAGTGGTTTTATGCCTGTGGTGCTTTTATTATGAGCAAGTTCTGCATGACTTAGTGTAACTGCACACTTTCCTGAAAGCCTCTGCAACGAGATCCAGCGGGTTGAGGTTTGGACCGTGCCAGCTTCTGCCGAAGAGTGAGGGTTGAGTCGCAGAATTATGGGAGAGCTGTTTGACTTTCCAAGTCCTCGCTTTTCCCCTGGGATACATGTGGCTTCTCGGCTGTTTATTGAGTTGCTAGTGCACTGTGCCTGGGTGAAGATACTGCTTCCTCCCTTCGATTCTTGCTGGGTGCGGATTAATTCTTGTGTTTTTAATTTGTCTTTGCCCCGGATTAATTTCACAGTCTGCATGAAATCACAGAACACTGTTGAGAACTTTCAGGGGGAAAGCAGTTGGTTAGTAGAGGATTTTGTCTACTGTAAGCAGGAATCAGAATCTACCCTCCCAGGAATCCCCCGGGGCCCGGACTCTCCCCGGCTGAGCCCAGTGGCTGAGACAAAAAAACAAGAGCCAACAAGAGAAACAGTTCCAGTTTACGAAGTTGCTTCTAGGCGCCGGAAATGGTACAGGAACGGGGAGAGAAGGACTTCCCATGCAGGGTCTAACATAATCCTCCCAAGGTGCTACGGAGTTAATAACTATTTCTGGATGAGAGAAACGTAACAAGGAAATACTAACGCAGCACCACGGAGACGGAGACTTCACTTAAACTCAGTAACCAAAGCTCCTCAACAGGATACGGATCCTTCGCGCCTCAGAGGCAAACGGTCCACCGATGTATCTTAACCCTGGTTCCTTTTTTTAAGAAATGTGTTTTAAGATCCATTCCAAACCTTCAATTAATTTAACTTTACTTCACTATTTTTCTGAGTATTGTCTTAGGTTGCTAACGGATTGTTTCCTTCGGCTTGTCCATTCGGTATAGAAATCAGGAATAAATATATGAATGCAACGCACACCGACACACCCTCTTTGGATCTAACTGCAGAGGCTTTTAGGAAAGTGTGCAGTTATGCTAAGTCATACAGAGGTTGCTCATAATATACACATATATTATATATATATGGACACACACATGCATAATCCACATATACATATAAAATTCTACACACGTAATTTAGCTATCCATCTATATACATATACTGATATACACTTCTAATTTCAAATTGAATGGCCAGATCTGGGCAGACACCTTTCCTGACAGATACCAAGCATGAGCCTTTCTTTCCTTCTCCACATAAGTAGATAAAAGTATGTGGCTTTTCATATCCTCACACGTTTACAGAAGATTCATGGTACAAAAGTCACCGAATGACCAGGGACGAGATAGGGAGGGAGAAGGATTGGGTCACGTTCCAGTTATAAAGGAACACGTGAACACAACATGGAATAGTTGCTAATCCGTAGGACACTCGAGATAAAGCGTAAGACATGCTTATGCTTATAAGAGCCCTGGCCTCATGGAGTTCACAGTCTCGCGAAGAGTCAGTTTCATCCCCCAGTGGAGAAGAGTACCACGTACGTAGATGCAATGGTAACCATACCGGTGTGATGATGGATGGAGCTCATCTAAATGCTTTCTGTGCTGGGGACCCTCAGAGTCGAGGGCGTTCCCCCACTATTGAGAACTGCAGTCTGGTCTTCTAAAATAATGATGGGGGTGGGGAGTGGCACTAGGACATCTGTTTTCGAACTTCTGGCTTGAACTGTCTCAGGTTACAGTAACTAAAATCTAACCCGGGGCATTTTCAGCCCCATGGAACTAGATCCCTGGTGTATTTATGAAATAAAGACCTTAGGAGCGCTTGGGTGGCTCAGTCGGTTGAGCGTCCGACTTCAGCTCAGGTCACGATCTTACAGTATGTGAGTTCAAGCCCCGGGTCGGGCTCTGGGCTAACAGCTCAGAGCTTGCAGCCTGCTTCGGATCCTGGCTCCCTCTATCTCTCTCTCTCTGCCCCTCCCCCGCTCATGCTCTCTCTCACTCTCAAAATAAACATTAAAAAAAATTTTTTTAATGTGAAACCCATGCCATTTCACACTTACTTTCCTCATTTCTTATATCCATTTTTTTCTTGCACATCCCTCTTATGTTTAATGCTGTTGCCTTCATAATCAAAATATACCCACTAATCCTTGAGGTGCAAGTCCTAAATTTTGATGCTTTAAAAAATAAGAATGACTTCAACACTACTTACATGTTCAATTAATGAATTCACTGCTTTGCCTTACCACACCTAAAACAACTCCATGCATATTTTCAGCGAGAACCCTTATTGGAATTTTCTAAGATGGGTATCTTGGGTGAAAAGTGGCATGTAATGCCTCCATGTTTTAAAGATTCATTTCCTTTAAACTCAAAGAGTTAAAAAAAATGCAAATCTTCTAAAAGATGCTGAGTGACTTAATATCAGAAAGCATTCTCTCAACATTCATTAATTTTCAGGTCCTGTATCTCTACCTTCATGGTCAATCTCTCACTGAATGTCTCTCCCATCCAACTGAGGAACTTCCATTCAAATCCCAGCATCCGTCGTGGTGTACCCACTCACTGTACTTCTTTCTAAGTGCACACCTAATTCTGAGCATCGACAGTAAGTAGGTGCTTAAAGAAGGTATGTTTCAAAAGACGGTCAGAGTTATTGGTTTCTGCACAGGTAGGTCCCCCCACTAGACTGAGTTCTTGAAGAGATAAAACTGAATTGTGTTCATCTTTGTAACCCCAGAGCCTCCTGTCTCTGATATCTAGTGGTCAATAAATTATTGCGCGAATGAGTTCACTTTAAATGACCGAGTCTTCTATACAGGCTCGTGCTGCCTTGACAGACCCAAAAGCAGAGATCAAAGAACCTGGAATATCTCCATGCTCCCCTCTTTCATAGCTTCTTGGTTGCGATCTTTCAAAGGAATGCCCCAAATCTGGACCATTTCCTGCTACGTCAAGTGCACCTGTCGTCCAGACATTAGCGGGGAAGGAGGAAAAAACCCAGGAACTAATATATGAATGTTCTTCATTCAAAACACAGAAATCTCCCATAATCTCCCATATTGGAGACGATTCTTTAGATTGACGGTATTTGCTGGCTCAAGGATTTCCGGTACACCCTAGACGGAGATGCAGCTTATCCTTTGCTAGGAATCCCTCTAAGTGATGGGACTCCAGTGAGCATGTCAGAAGCCCAACGATAGGTCCTGGGAGGTGATCAGTAGGGGCCTTGTATCAGGGTAGAGTCCTTCCTTTGCTACTAAACAGGACATCTGCTCCTTGAAGCTCTTCTATACTGAATCAAGTTTAACACAAACAGTATACAATAAAATCCACCAGCTTGCTGAAATAGAAATATTTCATCTAAAAATGGAAACCAAAGGCAAAAAGAAAAAAAAATCACCCTAAACACTTGAGCCAACTGGGTTATATTAGCACTGAGTTTTTATAATAACTGCTTAAATAATGCTGATTAATTTAAAGAGTAGTCAGAAAATGTATGCAGCAGCCAAGGTATTCCATTCTGAAGTTATAGTACAGATAATTTGTACAATGGTTTGTTTCTACATGTTATCAGGTTTCCAGAACTAGAGACTAACAAGTATGCAGTTTACCATACTCAAGCCACAAACGGTCCCTTCTGCCGCGGGCATGAACTTGGTCTCACACCTGTGACCCACTCGGTGGCACCAAAGGGACTTGCAAATGTCCTGAAAGAAAAGAAGAAACTGGTAAGGGTGTCAATACAATAAAAATGCAAATATCCAAAGTCTTTTGTATACAATATCATATTTTGAGGCAGCTGGAATGGGACATTGTCCAGGAAGTGGAGGCAAGTGACGTCGGGAGCAGCCAGGTAACCGGTAAATACGCTGTAGCAAATGTACAAGCAGGAAGTTTCCGCACTGCCGACATGGGTGTTTGGTAATGACAGGGAGGTAACGACAGTTCATTTAGGGACCATTTGGCTTGAAACCAAGAGACCTGGTTTGTAATGACAACTACCACCACCATGAGTGACACAAAAGAAGCCCAAACTGGAATCAAGCACGTCGGATTCAGATCCTCGCCCCCGAATTCGAGGTTCCCGGCCCTAGGGACATGTTACGGAAGGGTCTGAAGTGTGGTTTTCTCAACTGTGGAGATGGTGATCGAAGTACCTCTTTCCTCTGGAGGGTTGTTCTCAAGGGTAAATGATGTAAATGATCATCACCAGCGTCCTTATCTTTGTAGTAATTTTCAAGCATTTTAGCAATTTTCACACGAGAGCATCAAATAGCTTAACTCTCATGCTAGACTGTGGCAGGCAGAACACCATCCCCCAAAAATGACCACATCCCTACCACTGATGCTTGTGACTTTGTGCATTTATGTAGCAAAGGAGAATTAAAGGTGCAGATGCAATCAGGGTTGCAGTTGACCTTGAGGTGGGGAGACTATCTTCGATTTTCCAGATGGGCCCGAGACAACCACAGGGACCCTTGAAGGGGGCAGGGGAAGACAGAAGAGAGTCAGAGGGAGGACCGCGTGAGGAGGGCCAAGGTGGATATTGCTGCTTGGAAGGTGGAGGATGGGGCCGCTGAGCCAAGGAACGAAGGAGGCCTGTAGAAGCTGGAGAAGGCAAGAAAATGGCTTCTCTTCTGGAGCTTGCGGGAGGGCCACAAGCCTGCCGACACTTGATTTTAGCCCAGCGGCACTTACTTCATGTGTCCACCTCCAGAAACGTAAGAAAATAAACGTGTGTTGCTTTAAGTCATTAAGTTCATGGAAAGTTATTAGAGCGGTCATAGGAAACTAATACTAACACCATTTAGTGGTGCTCACTAAACGAATTCCGCACATAAGCTAATTTAGATGAGGGGACTGAACGAGCCATTGACATTTCAAAGCCGCCAAGTCACACAGCTGGTAAGTGGCAAAGGCCAGACTCCAAATGGCCTGATTCCAGCCAGCGTCCTTGACCACTACTCTGGGCTTGGATTTGCCATTAATGGAGGTTGGAAAGCTTTCAGCTTCTCTGGGCCTCAGTTACCTACCTATGAAATAAGGCAACGGAACCAGATTCCTTCCAGCTCAAACAGCTAAAGTTGCTCTTCAGAATTATGTCATTAATAGAATGTCAAAATCATGAAATGTCAAAATGATTCCATTTCGTTTGCCACATTCTATTTACTGGGATAGAAGTGTGAATGCATACAATTTGGGGGAAAACATGAACCACCAGGGAGGAAACAAAATGATTTTTGCGGTCACTCGGTGTAACCCTGAAGAGTCAATTAACCGGGCACCCAATTCCCCAAGCATTCTAGCTCGTATCGATTTCATGGTTGGAAAATATGGCAAGGACACGCTTAGGCGTTATTTCACACACAAAAAGTTTTCCACAGAACAAGGAAAGAAAATGGAGGGAAACCAGAGATCTGTGCAGGGAGCCTGATCTTGTGGACCAAAAAAATCCTTCCCCCGCCGCAAAAGAGAAGGGAAGGGTGTTCGGGACTCCGCTCGGGAACACCACCAGCAGGAGCCCCACGCAGGTGCCACACATACCACTTTCAAATCTCAAAACAGCTCATAAGACACGATATGTCAGTGTTTCCCACAGAAGGGGACCTGGCCACTGACATTAGTAGAAAGCATAAGGCAGTCTGCCAACGAGTGAATCAACTTCATCATCTCCGCGAGCCCTTACATGTGTCACCCCGGGCCTGAGGGAACAACTTAATGTGGAAAAAGAGTCCGTATCAAAATGGAGAAATAGGAGGTCACCATTGAAACAAAGCCACAGTCCGAGAGGCTTTCAGAATTAAACTGTTTTCCCCCTTACAGCCAGCAGGAAGCCATAACCCACACCCCTAGCCTATGTGGCCACCGCCAAAACGACCTTGGGACAGACCGAAGCAAAGGCGACCCAGATTCCACAGCCCGATGCCAAGCCACAGGGCTAAGAAAAAGGGGCAGCTGGAGAAGACCAGGAAAATAAGGCAAAACACAAAAACACAGGATTCCAGAGTGAAATCAGACGGGCTGTATGAACATGTTATTTCTTTTGTGGTGAAGTACATAAGTCAAACGTAATTATAGCCAACTACATGCTTTGACGACCTTGAGAACCCTCTGAGAAAGCTCCCCTTCAAAGTAAACAGAAATGGGAGTTTGCACTTTTTTGCTTCTCTTCCTTCTTTATTTTCCCCAGCATATTCAACTAACTTTTCCTTATCTGTAATTCCCCAGACTTAAGTCATAATTTAAGGGAGAAAGAATTAACCACAGAGACTCCAAGATCTCATGCTGCCTGGATGTGATTTTTAAGGAGACTCTCAATACCGTACTCTGTCCTGTCATCGTTGACCGCGTTGTCCCGTTGTATTCTAAAGATTCCGAAAGATGCCCCTTCAAGCGAAACCTGAGGTGCTAAAAATGTTAGTGGTCTTTGCGAGTCAAATTTCATAACGCCCTTAACACATCCGAAACAGAATTCCCCATCTTTCCCCCCAAACCTGAGTCATGTTCAGCCTCTTCCAGCTCATGACATGACCCCTCCAGACTTCTGACTGCTCAACCAGAAGCCCTAGGGTCCTCCTTGACTCTTCTTTTTCTCCCAGGTAAGTCAGCCACTCCTGCTTTCTTGAGGAGGTTTGAGAAGGGGAGAGAGGCATAATCGTCCACTTTATGGAAATGGGAGTGCTAAAGAAATGTCAGCTTGGATTGCCATTCCGGTTTCAGTAAATGACTCCTGGGTATCTGCCAACATGGTGGGCACATGCTAGGCCCTACAGATACTGTCCATCCACTGAGGCAAGAGATATACCTCATCAGCTATAACATACTATCCCAAGTTTATGATGGTGACATAAAGGGTACAGATGGAGGCCGGGGGAAAGGAATGTTTCAGTCTCCTTGGGGAAAATAGGAGGCAACGCTTGTGCCGGAATCTTCGACAGCAGGAGAAGATGATTAGGTATTTGCCACATGGGTGGCCGTGCAGCGTGCTAGGCAGGGAGGCATATACACAAAGACCTATAGACACGAAAGCAGAAAGGGCTTGAAAAAAATACAAGGACATGAAGATAGCTGAACCCCAAGTCCGTGGGGGAAGTTAGTAAAATGTGAAACCTGAGGTAGGAAATTTATTAGATTACAAAGCAGGTACAATTTACGGATTACACTTAGATTTAGATCCTTAGGGAGTTTCTCTTTCTTTTCCATTCTTTCATCCCAATGTCGAATTCTTTTTTTACATGATAATTTTTAAAATAAAATTGGAAAATTTTAAAAATTTTCTACATTACATTAGAAGTGTAATGGATGTGTAACACTAAACATATTAGTTTTAGGTGTACAACATAATGATTCGATATTCGTACGTATTACAAAAGATCGCTAATAAGTCCATCTGTCCCCATATATTTTTACAATTTTATTTTCTTGTGATGAGGAAAACTTTCTTTTCTTTTCGTGTGATGAGCAGACAAGATCTGCTCTCGGGCCAACTTTCATATATGCACTATAATATTCACTATACTCACCATGATGTACACGGAATCTCCAGGACTTACTCTCTAGAACTTTGTACCTTTTGACGACCTCTGAGCATTATGAGGTCCGATTCTTGAAACCAGAAATGCATGCCCATCCTACTATATTTGACATGTCTCTTCTTTCAGAGGAAATGTTCTCTGAGGTGATGAGCCTAAAAATATTCACTAGAATTCATACCTTCCCTATCATTTCTATTCTGCTTCAAACCCACTCAGTGCATCTGTAAATGAACATGAATGGACCTCCTGCTACGTGACAATGGCTGCTGAGATACAGGGTGCAGGTTGCTCATTTCTAACTTAGTAAAATAAGCCACATTGGAAGCACTGACCAGAGTCTCTTCCGGCGCCTGGAGCATTCTGGCAGACGGCACCTACTCCCTCGCTGTCAGTCAGTCAGCGGCTAATATGTGTTTAATAACCGGAGGCGTGTTCCCTCCAGTTGCTGTGGAGGTGACCCTCCCTTATGTCTGTCCAAATAATGTGGACCCACCAGCCCAATCTAACCAACTCATTTTCCTGAACACTTTGAAAGGGAACAGAGATCAAGCTTGACGTGAAGACACCGACGGCTGGCAGAAGATGAGACAGGTAAGAAAGACAGCCAGCTCCAGGCTCAGACAAGGAAGCCGAGAAAACCCTGATTAGCTGTACCAACAGATGCACCCACACAACTACCAGGGAAGAACTATCCCTATCCTCACCTTACAGATGTGGACAGCAAGGCTGAGGGAGGTTAAGCCATTTGACCCGGGTTCTAGGACACGGTCGAATAAGGTTTTAAACTTTCAGGTCCACCTAACTCCAAAAGCCAGATGGTGTGTGTGTGTGTGTGTGTGTGTGTGTGTGTGTGTGTGTGTGAAACTGACGACTGCCCAAGTCAGCAGTTCTGAACCCTGAGGAAGCATCAGAATCACATAGAGCCCCTGTTCAGGCATAGGTTGCCAGGTCCTACCCCCACACTTTCTTATGCTTCAGGACTGGAATGAGACCTGAGCATTTGCACTTCTAACAAGTTCCAGGGGATGCTGATAATTGCATGCGGTTCCAAAGACACTTGAGAAATTTTTTGAGTGTGCGTGCTTCTAACTCATGCAAAACTGCCTTTCCGGCAGGGCGGGGGGTGCATAAAGATTTTTTTAAAAGGCAGTGAGAAGAATAGGTCTGAAAGGGGAAGCAATGACAGGACCTTGAAGACACCAAAAACAAAATGCCATTACTTCTCCTGAGCTGCCAGATGTGGGTCTGAACTGTTCAGACCAGCAGGACAAACGGGAAATCTGCTTGTTTTGGAAGCCCCACCCACTTAGGGGAGGCAGGAAAGATCTGTGATTCTCCGAGGTAATGCCACGGTTCAAGTTACAAGCAGGTATTTGCCCCCTAGGCTGTGGGGGGGAAAACATTCAGCATTCTCCAACAGTCTTACCTCCTGGTCTTCCCAAATTGCTCCCGTAAGCAAATCTCTACCCCCTGGGCATTCCCATCTCTGTGACTTCCTCATTTTTTTAAAAAAATATTTTTAAATGTTTATTATTTTAAGAAAGAGAGAAACAGAGAGAGAGCAGGGGAGGGGCAGAGAAAGAGGGTGACAGAATTCCAAGCAGGTTCTGCAGTCAGTGCAGAGCCCGACACAGGGCTTGAACCCACTAACCGTGACATCATGACCTGAGTCAAAATCCAGAGTCAGACACCTAAGTCACTGAGCCCCTCCGCCTTCCTCATTCTATTCAGACTTTTAGTCTGCAGTTTCCATTTCCCTTTGCCCCGGTTCCCGAGGAAGACCATCCCACTGAGGTGCTGTCTCTCTGAAAACTATGCTACGGTTCCAGAAAAATATCTGTAAATGAAGAATGGCTATTTAAGCGCTGCACACTCTCTGACACAGAACAGGCACCCCACAAATGTTTGCTGAATGTAGGATCTTGAAGGAATGGTAGTCATTTTTAAAACTTCCTTTATGTTTGCAAAGAAAATCAAACTCGTTACCAATTGCACATTCGCTGCATAGTAAGCGTTTAATAAACGTGTGATTAATGAATGGGGGTAAGCTCGCGAAACCTTTAAGAATGAAGTGAAAGGAGAGTCAGACAAACTTTGTCAACAGGATGAACATCTGTCAACTCCTGCCAAACACATCAACTTAACAGGCAATTAGAGACCGTTATAAATTTATCTATTTATTTTTTAATGTTTATTTATGTTTGAAAGAGAAAGAGAGAGCAGGAGAGAAAGAGACAGTGCATAAACAGGGGAGGGCCAGAGAGAGACGGAGACAGAATCCAAAGCAGGCTCCAGGCTCTGAGCTGTCAGCACAGAGCCCGATGTGAGGCTCGAACTCAGAACAGTGAGATCATGACCTGAGCCAACGTCATGACCTCAGACGTTCAACTGACTGAGCCACCTAGGTGCCCCTGCAGTCGTAAATTTATTAATGTGCACAGGATACATCGGCATTTGCCAAAGTAAGCCCCATGGACCATGGAGGATACACCAAAAATATTGTGGACGGTGGGTGGATAAACTTTTCTAACAATTACGCATTTAAAGAGCATTAGAAAAATAAGTAATCTCCTATCAAACCTGTGATTCAGTGGTTACTTTTTTACGACTGGACTTAGAGATTTGGGTGTGAGATGATTTATTAGAAAAGCAACACATGCGTAATAATACAGAGATACACCACCACGAATGAAGGTGATTATTAATCACTGAATGTAGCTGTCAATGACTGAAGCTGAGGAAACACTGATATTAACTCGGGAGGAGGAAGCGTAACATTAGTGTGAATGCTGTGCCTTGTTTAAAAGTTTTGAGGGTTGGGGCACATGGAATACACATTCCCTGAGCTCCATGTTAAAAAAAAAAAAAAAAGATAAGTCTCATTTCAAAAGGTCTTTGTGAAGACTGAGGAAAAATAAAAGAAGTCTCAAAGTAGAATGCCATATGTGGAGCAGAGGCTCCGGAGGCAATTGCTGGAAGGGATGGTGGCCACAGAAGAGGGAGAAGAAAAGAGGAGGGATGGAAAGGGGGGGGGGATAGGAAGACAGCACAGAAAAGGAGCTATAAATCTTTGTCATTTCCCTATTTCCAGATACCTAGGATTTCCATGCTTCTGTTTGTTCTTTCTTTTTTTTAAGAATTTTTTTAAGTTTATTTATTCGTTTTGAGAGAGAGCAAGTATGGGGAAATAGATTCTACTTACATAAATAAGTTAGAAAAAAGCTTAGGGCAGAAAGCCACCACCACAGGGCAAAAATGCCCGAGATTACCTAGCGAGATATTGTAATGGGATCACGATTAACTTGTCATATCACCTGCAGGAAATTACTTTCCATCTGGTGCCAATGTACCTTGATCACAAACTCACCGGTCTCCCAGACCCTTTGCTTCTTACACAAGCTAATGATTACTGTCTGATTGTTTTCTCAACATTTCACGTGTGTAAGATCTTGTTTTCTTCACATTCATGATGAAGGTAATATCTTGTGAGCTCAATAACTATGGACATGAAACCCCTGCTTGGGGCTCTTGTCTCCTCCCAGACATTAGCCTCTCTCGTATTCAATTCTGCACCTGCTCTCTTGCTGGACAAGAGAGAACTCCAGACTCATAGTCTGTGACAAGTAAGTGCGAGCAGGGGAGGGGCAGAGAGAGAGGGAGAGAGAGAATCAGAAGCAGGCTCCGTGAGCTGTCAGCATGGAGCCCTATGTGGGGCTCGATGGCACGAATCATGAGATCATGACCTGAGCTGAAACCAAGAGGCTGCAGCTTAACCGACTGAGCCACTCAGGTGCCCCTCCATGCTTCTCTTTGGATACTAGGGGAAAAACCTTAAAACTGATTCTACTTTGTATTGATGTTGAGATTGTCAGTGCTAGAGTTCCTGGGCAAGTGTTCCAATGTGTCTCCCATTTCTACATCCTGGACTTTGGGTTTTCCCATCTATGTTTCTCGTCATGTGGAAGGGAAGACCTAACACACGAAAAAGTTGGCTGCTAACAGTTTTTACATTCCATAGAGGCATATGTATGTATTTTGAGGTGGTGATGATTTTAAATGTATCACATTTAAGGGAAATGAACACAGCAATAAGAAACAGAATCATAAGAGGTAGGTAAACGCTATTGTACCCAGATTTACTACTTGTGATAAAACCCTCATCTGCACAGGAGTAATTTTCTTCCCAGGATGTAGTCAGAAGGTATTTAAACCAGGCATGGTCTACAGGGGATAAGCCTGGACAATTCATCGACAGTAAAACTGCCACTTAATTATCATGCCAAGAAGCTGACATTTTAGAGATAACCCAGACTCTAACCCTTGGCCTCGCAAACCAAATGTTTATACTTCTGGTAGGGGCACAGACACATTGCAGAATCTTAACGTGAGGTTGAAATCACAAGCAAACATACCTTCACAAAACCAAGGCTACATAACTTGGCTTTTGCTCCAAATTGCCACTTGCACTGTGTGTCGGCATCATAAATCTGTCCTGGTAGTTTGTCTGGATATTTATACTGTCCTGTTTGCTTGGGCTCGTCCACCAGGCACCCAGCCTGAGGTGTGCTGCAGGAAAAAAAAAAATCCTTGTTAACTGCTGTGTTTACCTGTGATCTTTCCGCAAAAAACAGTACACCTCTCAATGCATTCATGCAAAGAAACATAGAACATGGCTAAACATATAAGTCATACTTAAAGTTAAAATGTTTATTTTTTCCAGGGTGTGAGTCCTGTCCTGTCTAAGATGGAATTTACACAGCTATGGAAGGTTTCACCTGGTAAAGGAATTATAGCTGTCCAAGTGATTTGATTTGGCCTGCTAGATGGCAAAGATGCATATATTTGAAAACTCTCCCCAACAATCTCATTCAACAACATTCAACAAGTTTTTATTAGGTGCCTACTGTGTGGTGAACATTAGGTTAAACGCTAAAAGTACAGAATAAACTAGACAGAGACAGTATCTATTTTCACGGAGTTGAACGTCACGCTGTGTTGTTTTATATATATATATATATATATATTATATATATT